TCAAAAAAAAAAAAAAAAAAAAAAGGATGGGATGCATGAGAGAACCCAGCATGGTCAGAGTGGCTTAAATCTGAGGAGCCGGGACCAGCAATTGGCATGATGGCTATGTTGCTGGACTCCCATGTAATCGGCCACAGTTCGAGTCCCGGACCCGGTGGCTTAAACTCACATTGGGTGCATGCATGTCCAAGATCCTGAGAGGAGAACGGAGGAGAAGGGATTGCGGTGTGGCCATCCCCTCCTGGGGAATGATTTCTCACTTTCTGTCTCTCTGTCTCTGTCTTTCTGGAGAGCGCATGCACCCTATAGCAAAAACCTCTCCCAGAAAAAGAAAAAAAAATCAGGAGCCAAAAATGTAAGCGGTATCCTGGAAGAGCCCACTGTCTGCCCAGGAAGACTCCCACGTGTGACACTTCCAGTGTGAGAAGAGCATGACAAGCGAGACTAGAGTGCTCAGGGAGAGCCAGTAGGCAGCTGGACCTGAGGGATTCTGGAAGACTTCTCAAAGGGGGGGTGGCCTTTAGTTTGGTTCTTAGAGATTTTTTTTTTAAGAATTATTTTTTTAATTAATTATTATTATTATTCTTTTTAACTTGACCAGAGAGATATAGAGAGAGATAGGAAAAGAGACAGCAAGTCAATGGGTTCAGGACTGAAATCACAGTTGGTCATTCATATGTGAGTCCAGCACCCCAGCCACCATGCCACCTTGCCAGCCTGTGGTTCTTAGAGATTCTTTCTGAGCAGAGTCAGTGAGAAGAGCATATGCCATGTACAGCAGTTGTTCATGAAGTGACCAGGTGCTCCTAGCCAAGGCACCAAACGAGGAAGTACAGTTCTTTTTGGAGGAAGTGGAAGTGGGTTGTCATGGCATGAAGAACGTATTTTGTTGAGAGATCAGATAGGTGGATTGAGGCCAGACTGAGAAGCACTGAGAATGCATGTGGGCAGTGGGGGCGTCATCAGGAAGGGAACGGTCATTCCGAGATCAGAGCAGATAGTGCGGGGTGCTGGGCTAGAGTGGGTGTTTTGACCTGGTGGCCTGACCCGATGGCAGGTAGAGTGAGGAGCAGTGGATGTAAGTAGGAGAGAGTTGAGGGGCAGATGAACAGGACCCTGGATCCAGTGAGGGGGCAGAGGCAGGAGCTGAAGGCAGCTTGGAGGCAGATAAGGAGCGAGTAGCATAAAATGACCAAGGAATCACAGACGAGTTCAAACCCCATCCCCACGTCTTACTTTCTGAGCCTCAGTGACCTCATCTGGTAAGCACATGGGATGCCTTGAGCCTTCCTTCCTGGACAGTTTGGGAGACCGGGAGAGGTGGTGAGCAGAAAGGGGCCTGGTGCCTAGCACATGCTTGGCAGTGTAACATGGCGGAGCCAGAACAGGAAGAGTCAGGGAAGCTGGGAGAGCAGTGGCCTCCTGGGAATGGCACGTGCACATGCAGCAGTTGGGAAGTTGGATTCCCCAGAGCCCATCTGTCATGTCAAATATATACCTTCTGAGGTAGACTCTTCCACAGTGGGGGAACCCCCGCCAACTCCCACTGACCAGTCCTCCCTCTCACAGACTCAGATGCCACCGCATCTTCAGATAACAGCGAGACAGAGGGGACGCCAAAGTTGTCGGACACACCAGCCCCCAAGAGGTGAGCAGAAGCCAGCATTCTTGTCTCTGGTGGTGGCAAGGGAGGGAACCTGGACCTTCTAGTTGCCTCTGACCCCCCTCCCCTGTCCTTTCTCCAGGAAGAGAAGCCCTCCGCTGGGGGGTGCCCCCTCCCCCTCCAGCCTCTCCCTGCCTCCTTCAACAGGGTTTCCCCTTCAGGCCTCCGGGGCCCCCTCCCCATACCTGAGCTCGGTGAGTTGGGGACAAGGGTGGGAAGTGGTGAAGATGCCTGGGAATAAGGTGGGCATCGTGTGGACAAAGGGACTAGGCCTCAGGGAGGCCAGCCCCTCTGGGACCTCTGTCTGGGTGTGGCCAGCAAGTGTCCCTTGGAGGGTGTGAGTCGGGCTGCCCATCTCTCTCTGGTGTAGGAATCGGGGACAGACATGACTGAGGAAAGCAGACCCCAGGACCAAGTCCTGCTGCTATCCCCTCCCTTCTGTTCTCAGGAGCCCTGGGAGCCACACTCATCACCATCTTTTTGTTTTTCCATTCTTTCTCCTGTTCACATTTCCTCCCTTCACCTCTCACCTGATCCACTCCATTTCCCATCTCCACCCCTACTCCCACCTGCAGCTGGCTTCCCCCCCTTACCCCCCATTCCCTTCTGACTACCTGGCCCTGCAGCTGCCCGAGCCCAGCCCCCTGAGGCCCAAGCGGGAGAAACGGCCCCGCCTGCCCCGGAAACTCAAGGTACCCTATTTGGGGACGTTAGGGAGGGGCCCACAGCAGGAGGACAGCCATCGAGGGAGGCTCAAGACAGGCTAGGGGCCTAAGAACTTCAAACATTGGGTGGGAACTGCCAGGAGTTCTGCCCAGGACCAGGCACTAAGGGGTGGGTCAGAGAAGTCCTGGTTCCCAGAGTGACTGTGTAGACAAATCAGGGGCAGAACCAGCCTGGGGGACTCAGAGTGAGGGTGCCTGGGGTCCTGTCCTTACCTGCTGCGGCGTGCCTGGGGCGAGGCACGTCTTCATGGACATGAGTGTTCTGTAGCAGCCCAGAGGGGCGGAATTATGGAATCTAGAACCTACTCAAGGCTGCCCCAGTTAAAGCCACGGAGCTCCCTCAGGTTTCTGGCCCTCTGGGTCTTCTAGAGTCTGCATCCCTAAAGAGACTAACTAAGCTAGATCTAAATCACGTGTTTGTGGAGCACCTGCTTTGGGCCAGGCACTGTTCTAGGTGCAGAATCAGAGGCAGAAACCCCTGCCCTCAGGAGACTGCCTTCTAGCCAGATAGGCAGGAAACAAACAGATACGTGTTTGTGGAGAGGATACATGCCAGTGGCGAAGAACCAAGACAGCTAAAGGGATCAGGGAGCATCAGAGTGGGGAGGGCTGATATTTGAGGTGGGGTGGTCTGGGCTGTTTGACCAGACTCGAGAGAATTGAGGGCAAGCCATGTGGCCCACCGGGCAGGCATCTCAGGGGGAGCACCTAGTACAAAGGGCGGGCCCGAGGACGAGTGTGCTTGGCTTCCTCAAGGGTCCGAGGAAGTCTAGTGTGGAGGGAGGAAAGCAAGAGGGAGCGTGGGCAGAGAGCCTGTTAGAGACCTCCGTAGCTGAGGGGTGAGGTGTGGGCCTTAGAGGTATTGGAAAGAGGCCCGTCGTCATGGTGGTGAGTGTTCTGTGGCAGCCCCAGAGGAAGGGCAGAATCATGGGATCCAGGATCAAATCAAGGCTGCCCCAGTTAAAAGCCATGTGAGCTTGAGCGGGTCTTTGTGACCCTCTGGATCTTCTTGATTCTGCATCTAGTGCTAGTACTGTAAATGAAACGGGCCGTTGGAGAAAGTTGAGCAGTGGGGCATCTGATCTAATTTACATTGCAGCAAAATTGCAGACACTGCTGTGGGAAAATCTAGTCAGGTGGAAGGGTGTGGGGTAGGATAGGCGGGGGAGGCCACTGCAGTAAAGCCAGAGGCTGTGAAGAGGGTAAAAAGTAGACCTCCCAGCAGTCCATTTCAGAGAATGCAGTGCAGGACTTCCTGTAAGAGACCGTGTGTGGGTTGCAGGACTAGGTGTGGGAATCAGGGTGGCCCCAGGGATTTTAGCCTGAGCATCTGAAAAAGTGAGTTGCGTTTTTGAGATGGGAGCCTGTGGGAAAGCAGGCTTTGGAGGGAAGATTAATTTGCTCTTAGACATGTGTAGACACTATCTGGAAGCAGCAGCTGGACCGCTGGATGCGTGTCTGGAAGTTGTCATCATGGGGGTGGATGCGCCTGTCTGGGTGAGGGTGTGGAGAAGAGGGGAGGGCTGAGCGCTGAGCCGCAGGAGAGATGAGGAGGAGCCAACTGAGGAAACAGGCCCAGGGCCCTCAGAATCCATCTGGAGTGGCGACTAGACTGGATAGCTCCTGAGGCTCTGGACCGGGAGCAAAATGGGTGGCCACAACCATGCTTGATGGCTAAAACCACGAGGGAACCCACTGTCTTCTGCAGGCTGGAACCGTGTGGGAGGCCACAGGGGAGGCCCACGTTCTGTTCCTGATCCAACCTAAGGGCAAAGTGTGAAGGCAGGTGCTTGTAACTACATGAACTCAGGAGCCTTGAGGCAGGAGCACAGTGTGCTCAAGGCCAGCCTGGGCAACATAGTAAGTGAGGCTCTGTCCCGAAGAGCCAGATGTGGTGGTACACACCTGTCGTCTCAGCTGCAAGGTAGAGGCTGGAGCATCACCACAAAACAAGACTGTCTTAAAAAAAATAATAATGGGAAGCCATGTTTGTGGCAATTAAAAGTACAGGTTCTCTGGGTCCAGCAGGTGCCGTGGAGGTTAAGCTGCTAGAATCCCCCATGGCCAGCTATATGATTCAAGTCCTGGACCCACAGCTTGAAAATCATGCCAGGCACACACATGTACATGCATGTGAATGGAGGAGACAGGATTGTGGCTGGCCATCCTCCCTGGGCATGATTTCTCACTTTGCCTTTTTCTCTGTCTCTGGCGAGTGCACATACTCTATGGCAAAAACTGGGGGTGGGGTGGGGGTGGGGGCAGGGGGGAGTGCCTTTTCTGGAATTCATGCCCCAACCCTGCCGTGTATTCTCTGTGTGACTTAATCTCTCAGGCCTGGACATTTGGGGTGATACACTGGCTGTTCCTTTGCTTTGCAGGGTTGGTGTCTGGTCTGTAGGGCAGGTTGGTGGAGAAAGCGAAGGTCAGCAGAGCCTGGAGCAGATGGGTGGCCATGTGGCCCAGCCTGGGCATGGGCAGTTTGAGGCTTTTGGGCTGGCGCTGTGTTCTGATGTAGAGTGATGTCAGGGGAGCTAAGTTCTGTACATGAAAGAGAGAAAATGTTGGCCAGGAAAGGGCCCAAGGCACTACATGAGGGAATGGCTCAGAGAAGAGAGAACATTCGAGTCCAGAGCTCGTCAGGCGGAGACAGTGCGCAGAGGCAGGGCTGTGGCAAGAGCGTGATCTGGGTTGGAGCAGGAGCAGTAGTTAATAACAACATTGAGGACCAGCAGATGATTACGCCTTTGGACTCCCATGTAGTCGACTGGTTTGAGACCTGGACCCAGTAGCTTAAACTCATGCTGAGCACTCCCACATGGGCGACCATGGTTTGAGTCCTGGACCTGGTGGTTTGCTTTCTCACTTTCCTGCTCTCTCTCTCCCTCTCTGTGTCTTTCTGGCCACAATAAAATAAATTAATGAATAAGCAAAATTAAATAAATAATTTTAAAAAAAGAATGAAAGAAAAATCACCCCGAAGTTGCTGGGTGACTTGGCATGAAGAGGTGGGAAGCAGCAGGTGTGGGGCAGCCGTGAGAGGAAGCAGGTCAGGGGAGGGTCTGGGCCTCAGTCTGACTTTCTCGGGTTTGCCTCCCAGACTTCTGCGCTAGCCCTGTGACCTTGGGCCTGTGCCACGCTGAGCCTCAGCCCCCTTCTCTGTTCAGTGGGGCTATTAGGGGTTGGAACACTCAACCCAGCGTCTGGTCTCTAGTAAGCCACAGGTAAACTGTGCTGCTCTTGGTCTTGCTGAGACCTCTGGGGAGTAGGATGGGGATCAAGGTGGCAGCCAGAGGAGGACAGTCCTCAGGCCGCTGTCCTCAGTCAGGCAAGCGTGTCTGCTCCTGCGTGCCCACATGCGGCCTGCTACTGGGGCCAAGGCTGCTTGTTCAGAACTGAGCCACTTGTCTCATCAGTCCTGGCAGGCTCCTGGACTCCGAGGCCTGACCCACTCTGCCCTCCCCTCATCTATCCCAGGACCAGAGGGAGACTAGGGGCTTCTTGAGAAGCAGAGGCAAGTGTGTTTAAGCAATCAGGAGGGCCCCTGTGAAGAACAGATGGGGTGTTTCCTGCCCTACCAACCCCACTCCAGGACCACACTGGATACTGCCCCAGAGTGGGGACCTGTGGGCCTACAATCTCCTTTCCTCCTCTAGCAGATGGTCTCTGCTCCCTCCCTCCTCCTGGGGTGGCCCTGAAGGTGGGAGGTCATTAATAGACATCCCCACACACAGAAGAGGGGTCAATTTGTGTGTCTAGGCAAAGCCCAAGGGCTGTGGCTGAGAGCAGAGAGCCCTCTGTGGGAGAATTTGTGAAGCGTTGGCAGGGGTGGGGCTGGAGGGTTGGGCAGAATGCCACTTCCTAGCCTCAGAGGACAAAGCAGGACTTGTGACAAATAGGACACTCCAGGTGGAGGGACAGCCTGTCATCAGGCACACCGCAGTGCCTGCCCCAGGGCCCTGGCGGGGAGGAATGACATGCCCAGGTCTGTGTTTTAGAGAGATCACTCTGGCTGCAGTGTGGAGGAGGAGCTCGATCTGGGAGAGGCTGAAGGCAGGGAGTCCAGTTAGGAGGCTGGTCCCGTAGCACAGGTGAGCTGAGAGGAGGGCCTGGCCTAGGCCAGTGGCTGCGGGGATCCCAAGGAGGGGCCTGTCCCAGATATAGAAACTTCTGGGGGGCAAAAAAGCAGTCCATGCTCCTGGCTCAGGCCGCCTGGTACCTTCCACTGAACCAGTGAGTCCACAGTAGGAGGGAGAGGAAGCCAGTGGTGGCCGTTGGTGCCTGGTGCCCGAGGCAGGCAGGTAGGCACTCCCGCTGACTCTGACCTGGGGCAGCACTGGTGCTTCCCTGGAGAGGCCAGGGCCCTGCCTTTCCCTCCCAGCTTCCTGTAAGACCCTCCCACCTGACCTCATCCGCCTTCATCACCACCCCTCACCCTCAGGCACTTGCTGGCTTGAGAGTCTGAAGAGACTGGGGTGGGCAGGCCCCCAGTGCTGCCATTGGCTGCTTGCTGTGTCCATTGCCCCTCCCTGTCCCCCAGGACTGCCTTAAGGGGGCAGTGCCCAGCCTCCCAGCAGTGCCCTTGCCTCCCTGACAAATCCTCCCTGTTTCTTCCCCTGCTGCAGATGTCGGTGGGACCCCCCGACTGCCCTGTGGGGGGGCCGCTGACCTTCCCTGGCCGGGGTCCTGGGGCCGGGGTCGGGGCAGCGCTGACCCCCCTGCCCCCTCCAAAGATGCCCCCCCACACGATCCTGAGCACCGTCCCTCGGCAGATGTTCAGCGATGCAGGCAGCGGGGATGATGCCCTGGATGGGGACGATGACCTGGTGATCGACATCCCGGAGTGACTGCCCACTGCCGGCTGCCAAGGCCCGCCCAGCACCCCACCCCACGCCAGCACACGTGAGCCCCAGCTTACTCAGAGAGGTTTATTGACGCCCAGTTGCCATGCTTCGGCCACTGCCACGATCAGAAAAGGCGTAAACATGCACGAATGTCCCCCAGGAAGATGGCAGGGGCCCTGCCCTTACAGGGGACAGTTATTTAAATGAGTGGCCCGGGGAGCATCTGCCACCTGTGGGAGGCAGAGACCCCGCGGTGGCCACCCCTTTAAGAGGGCAGCTGTACAGGGCTTGTGTTGTTGTTGTTCTTGTTTTTTAATGAAGATTCTGTATTAAAGGAGTGGCGCTTTTTCTTTTTTTGGTCCTTTTTGGAAACATTCTCCTCCTCAGAACCTCCCCTAATCCGACCTCCTCCCTGTGGAGGGAGGGGGCGGGGCAGCCTGGAGAGGCAGGAGAGGAGGCAGGGGCCTTGGGGCCGGCCTGGGGCTGGGGCTGCTCTGACAGCTCCGGCAGGTGTGCAGAGGTGGGAGTTTGCATATTTGCGTGGAATAGCAAGTCAGGCAGGAGGAAGTTTGCATATGTGAATATAGATCTCCACAGTCCTTCACGAGAAGACAGACCCACGGTCACGGAGACTCTCACAAAAATAAGACAGGTAGTGCGGGGTAGGGGCATCCCACCCCGTGTAAACGTGCAACACACTCGTGCGAAGGCTGGGTACTGGACCTGGCCGCAAGGGCCTGTGCTGGGCAGGTGCTGTCCACTCAGGCCGAGGGGAAAGCTCCGGCCGCTGGGGGCAGCTCGCTGGTCAGGGTGTGCCAGCGCTCCAGGGCTGTGTCCGGCTGCTGCAGACAGTCGCTCCAGTGCTTCCTGGCCTCTCCGCGGGCCCCTGGCCCCAGGGACACGCCACCTGGGGTGCGGGGATAGGCAGGCAGAATCAGGGCCTAGTGTCCTGCCACTCTGCCTGCACCTGGTACCACCCAGCCAGGCTTCCTCCTCACCAATGAAGTCGTTGGATTTGCCAATGTCGTAGTCCCACACTGTGACTTCCAGGGTCTTGGTGGCCAGACTGGAGAGCTCTATCTCATAGAAGAACTCCTGGGGACAAGGCAAGCCACAACTTCCGTGGAGCCCCACCCCGCCCTCAGCCCACCTGGCTTTCTAGTCCCTGTCCCATTTACCTCATTAAATTCTGGGTTTAGAGTCTTCTTCTTCACACAGGTTTTGTGCTTGGATTTCTTATCCACATCTGGTCTCAGGTACCTGGGGAAGAGGGTGGAGGGAACGGGGCCACACAGTTAGGGACGGGATGGGCCCCCAGGGAGTATGTGGCAGGGGTCAGGCTCCCTGGGGGAGGAGAGGGAAAACCTCAGAGCTAGCGCTCACGTCTTGACGTAGGGGTCAGAGTAGCCGTTGACGTCCATGGCGGCCAGGTGGGCACAGCGAACGATGCCCACCAGCAGCCCCCGGCGCCGAGAGCTGTAGCTGAGGCGCAGCAGGATGCGTCCACGCTCCTCCAGCAGCCCAGGCCCCTGCTCCGCCTGTTCGAGCTGCAGGGGACAACACGGGGGTCAGCCTGGGTCTTCTGCCGCCTCCCACCCAGGTACAGTCCCTGAGGGGTGCCTCACCTCCTTCAGATAACAGGAGATGCCCCTCAGCGCCGCTGACATGGAAGAGGGTGAAGCCAGCTGAGGGGGCAGAGAGAAGGTTCTGGAAACCTGGCTTCCCCAGGTTCCCCTCCCTCTGACCGCCTGCAGCCCTCACACAGACCGGGACCTGGCGCTCAAGGCAGATGTTAAAGTGCTTCTTCTGTGAAGGCTTCAGGCGGCGGAGGGGCACTCGGATCTCCCCAATAAACTCATTGTGGCTCAACTTGTCTTCATCACAGACAGAGATCCTGGAGAGGAACTACAGGGTCAGGGCCCCCTGGGGTACCTGAGCCCCACTCCCACAAAGGAGAAGGTGCTCAGACCAGTCCCAGCTCTGCTCAGACACTGTCCATGTCCTCTGCAAAGTGGACTGGGTTTGCCCTGCTCTCTGCCTCTCCCTTTCCAGCTGCCGAGGCTGTCCCCCATCCATCAGGAAGCCCTCATCTTGGCGACCACCCCCCTGACTGCGTCCACTCACGCCTGGGGGCACGATCTGGCTGAACACATCAGGGCACATTGGATGTGGCCACAGATGCAGCTGTTAGAGCTAGAAGGGCCTCGAGGCTCCTGGGGCATCTAGCCGAGGACCCTACCCCTCAGGCCCTCCTGTCCTTTATGCAGGGAGCAGGGAGCCGGGAGCCGGGAGCTGGCCTGGCAGAAGCATATGAGCCCAGACATTCGGAAATGGTTGCTTTTACTGCCATTTGTCCCCTCCCGCAGCCCCTGCACTGCTCCTGTGACCAACCATTCGTCCCCTCCCGCAGCCCCTGCACTGCTTCTGCCGTGACCAGCTGCTGCACTGAGCAGCCGCAGCACATGGGACTGTTCAGATCCATCCCTGCCTGCCACCTACTGGCTGTGCCCCCTCCTGGAATTCACAGAACTTCCCCAAGCCTTGATTCTCTGGAAATGGAGAGCACGGGTACACCTGAAGCTATCAGGGTGGCCCCGGGAACTGAAGGTGATCTCAGTCCGAGGACGGGCTGAGCACTAGTGGGCACTAACCTTAGGCCTCATTTTCTTGCCTCAGAAATTGGAGCCAGCCTTTCTGGTTTCTGCTTCTGGTCCCTCCAGTCTCCTCCCTTACCCAGCCCCAAGGTGACCTCTCAGACAGCCCTGATCGTGCCCTCCCTCATACAACCCATCTCCTGGCATCATGGAGCAAGTTCCCTGTCCCTGCAGAGTTTGCTCCCTAGAAAGTGTAGGGGAAATGCAAGGAGCAAAACCACCAGACAGATGCATAGTTGTGACCTCAGCCAAGACTCAGGTCTAGGAGCCGGGAGGACGCTTTCAGGAGGGGCAGAGCTTAGACTGAGCCCCAAGTAAGTGGATTGAGGCTAGCAGAGGGGAAGCCAAGAGTGCTTTGCAGATGGAAGAGACACAACAGACAAAGAAAGGTCGAGTTATAAAACTGACCAGTCGGGGGGCCAGCAGGTGGTATGGTGGTTAAGGGTGTTGGATTCCCACATGGCCAACCATGGTTCGAATCCTGGACCTGGTGGCTTGCTTTCTCTCCCTTTCTCTCTGTCTCTGTATAATCAAATGAATAATAATAACAGATGGAGTTCAATAAAAACAAAAAACTGACCAGTCAGAAGGAGGCAGTCCTGTGTCCCAGCAACAATAGGAGATCCTTTGGGGGCAGGAATGCCAGGGAAGTATTTTCCCTGCTGCTGAAGCGGATGGGGAGCCCGACTGTTAGTTTAGCATCAGAGGAAGAGGTTTAGTGGGACAAGGTAAAGGAACAACCTACAAAGGCTCCAGGGACAGCTGTCCCAAGAGGAGGTCCTGGGCTACGGTGACAGGGAGGACGAGCTCTCACCTGAGCACCTTGTGAGTGATGTCATCATCCGTGATGCCACTGTATGTCAGGTCCTCGTTCCACACGGGGTTCAGGGTGTTCCTCTGAGTCTTCGTTTTTAACTTATTGGCCTGGGGTGTGGGGACAACGCCTTCTGAATGCGTGTCCCCCTGACCCACAGAGGCTGAAGGCAGGTGCTGGGGACATCTAGGACAGACCCACAAGCTGGGTCAGGCTTTGGGAGAGAAGAGGCTATTACCTTGCAGGCTCCGGGCAGCAGGTGCAGCTTGACATAGGGGTCGGCTAGGCCATTGAAATCCATGGGCTTGAGGCCCTGGAGGAGGTAGGGGAGAGGGATGTGGGCTCCTGGTTCCTCTCAACCTCCCTCTGCAAAGCTGGACCCTTGAGGAATGGAGAGCCCAGGAGGAAGGTGTGGGGCGGGGGAAAGGAGTAGGAGTCCAGCCTGGAAGCTGAAGGAAAGATGGGAACCCAGCCCTCCATTCCGGGGTGGGAGCCAAGGAGTACCCACCTTGGCCCTGAGGATGCTACAGTGCAGCGTGCAGGAGGCCTGGTCATAGAGAAGGTCGAACTCCAGGGTGCCCAGGGCGGCTGGTGGAAATGGGAGAGGTGGCATGAGTCAGTGTGTCAAGTCGGTTGTGTGCTAGAGACAGCAGACGGGTGCTGGACGCGTGCCGCATCTCTGTCGGCTGCAGGTGTGTGTGAAGAGGCTGTAGCATGCGCGTGTGTGCGTCTGGGGCCCTGGTTCGGCCGCAACTGGGGCTGTGTGGGTGGTGGAGTGTCTCAGCAGAAATATTGAATATTGAGCCTTGCCGAAACTGTAATCCCCACGCGAACTGCCACCCCCACACGCACCCCCATGCATAACCAGCAGGACCCATCCCTTCCCCACAAGCCTAGAACTCCCTGTCAGCACCCCGGGCCCTTGGAGCCCCCAGACTCACTGGTATCGTCTGAGTCATAGCTGTCCACCTCAGCTCCATCCTCGGGCGTGGTGGCCCCAAGGAGTGCCACTGGGGGGGCCAGAGCCAGAGGGGCCAGATGAGCCGGGGCCTCTCCACAGCCCCCACCGCCCCCTTCGGGTCCAGGTCCCCGGCGGGGAAAGTAGTCAGAGATCTGGCGGATGGGCCGGATGGGTCCAGGGCACACGTTGATGGCCATGTGCTCCTGGATGTTGACAGTCATGCGGTCGCCCCTGCGGCCCCTCATGCAGCACCCTGGCGGGGGAGGAGGAGCGCGGGAGCCTGAGCCCCGGGCCAACCCCTCCTACCTACTGTCTGTTGGCCGATGGCCAGGAGTCAACCTCCTTTGTCCTGGGGCCCTCAATAGCCCCTTTCCTGGGTGTCCAGGGTGAGGGCGCCCATGCCAGCTGGCAGGCAGGCAGGAGGCCGGGCCCTCCAGACCCCAAGCCTGGCTCCCCAGAGGCTGGGCTGCCAGCCACTGCCCGCACTGGGCAGGTTGAGGGCGCCTATAGTTTGTCCCTTTGTCATCTTCCCAGCTCCTTCCTCTTGTTCTGGGCTCCTATCTGCCCCTCAGCCCTGCTACCCACAGGCAGCCACACAGGGCCCCGCCTCTGTTTCCCTGAAGCTCTGACCATTCTCTGCACCAGGCGCTGGTCTGGTTAGGGTGTCACCCATCAGACTCCAGACTCCCACTTCCCACTGTCTATTCAACCCCAGTTTCTGCCTGTCTTGCTGAGCCTAGTCCCCGCCTCCCACCCGCAGCCCAAGGTGGAGACCCCAGCCTCAGATGCCTCCTGAGCTTGTCTCCCAGGAGAGCCAGAAATGCAGCCGCAGGAGAGCTAAACACCCCCGTAGCACACAGGCTACCGCGCTCACCCGCACCCTCACCCTCACGCCCCAGCTGGCCCAGCCCCCTGCACCTGTGTCCGTGCCTCCAACAGGTGCCCAGGCACTGGGGGGACGGCGGGTGCAGGCCGGGCGGTGACGGCGGGGGGGTCCCGGGGGGGGCCGCGGGGAGGGG